CAGCAGAATAAGGTCTTCAAACACACAAGCCCCTGCACATTGCACGTGCCAAGCAAAGCGCCTCTATGCCCAAGACACGGTGAATCTGCTCACAAGGTTGAAATAGGTGCTCGTTGCTTAAAAATCTGCCAGTAGACTGTACCCGCCCTTACCTGGCTTGTTTGCTCCCTGTTTTCCTTGCTCCTTCAAACAAAGGTATCCTCCTTGAAGAAAACCCACCATTTGAATATGGGATTTCTAGAACAAAACAAACAAACAAAACCTTTAAAGGAGTGCCCACTTGCCTTAATTAGGATTCCTTTAAATATGAAAATAATAGACATTTAACATATGATTTAACACACAAAAAATTATACAGGGATTTCAGGAACATCACTGAAGACACAGGTACTAGTAATGACTTGCTGGTTGGGCGCACACACCTACTGAGAGTCGGTGGAGTGAAATGGATAGGAGTGTGGGTTGGGATCCAGTAGCCCTGTGTCTGGGTCCTCTCTGCCATTCATTAGCTGAGTATGGCCTTCAACAAGTGACGTAACCTCTGAAAACCTCAGTATTTCTTAGAGAAATAAAATGAGTGAGTGATGCCTCCCTTGTAGTTAGCTGTATTAAATGAAAGATGTAGATAAATCAAATAGAGGTATATTTTATCCTGTATTATATTTTATCATACATTATAATCTCATATATTATTTCCTTCATTTAATTTCTGCTGGCCTGAATGGGAGCAAATGAGTGGCAAGAACAAAACATGGTATTATATTTTCAGCAATATAATCTAGGTACCTATATATAAATACAAGTGTGTGTGTATATATGTACACGTAGATATAGCGCCAGCATAGTGCCTGGCACATAGTAAATATTTGGTACATGGTGGTTACTATTGTGAAAAGTAGCACAAAATGCTCTTCACAAAGACTAACTTGATGCATAACATTCCAGGCTATTTTATTGAACTGGTAGAAGAAGAGTAAAAAGCCTGTGTAACTGAGATTTTTATGGCCTTAAAGTGAAGGGGAAACAATTAACCGGCATATGCGTGAAGTGTGGCCGAGATTCAACTTGTAGCAATTGCTGACATCTACTGAGTGTGTGATGACTGGCCACTCGGCAGAGTAAATACTGGGACTCAATAGCCTTCCCACGTTTACTGTATAGTATCACCTGTTCTTACTTCCTTCATTAAAAATATTCCATGCAAACGTTTGATTTCACTTCCCAGGCTAGAATAGAATTTCCCTCGGAGTGATAAAGGCAAACATGATACAGATTGCTTCAAATTTAGGGACTAAGTGAGTATATTCCCACAGATGTCCAAAGGTTTCTTCTTTTTTTATTTTCTGGCCTCCCTCCCCCTGCCCCTTTCCTTCCAGCACTTGTAGTTTGTTTCATAAAAGTTGAGCATTCTCACAAAGGGTCTCATAGACACATGTGAGGAGATGCTAAGTCTGATTGAAAGTGCCTCTCTCCTGCTCCCTCTGAGTAAAGTGACCTTTTTAAATGGAGGGAAGTGGGTTTAGATGACAGTCATGATAAATGCGGTCATGTTCACTCAATAAAATAAGGCCCAGTGCATTTGAGGATAAATCAGTGGAATGTACAGCCCCACCTGTCTGTCTCCATCATTCATTTCCACTGTCACTTTCACAGTGGCTGATGGATCACAGTTGCTGTAAAATTAGACAGCCTTTAATCTCATTTCATCCTGATTAGCTTCTCTTTACCCTTTCCCTCTGACTCACTGACTGACACGCTAAAAACGCACACGGGGCTGCTGTGAGCACGGAGCACAAACTTCTCCTCCAGCACCTGCTCGGGAGGGCGCGGCGAGTGTCCGCCTCTAGAGAAAGCCGGAGAGGGGCAGGCGGGTCTTCGTTCTTCAAAAGGTGATCAGTAAGTGCAGGACCTCCTGCCGCCTTGAACAGATGTCTGCCCTTGCTCACTGCCCTGTTTATTTTACTTTCCTTCAGGGTCCATCAGAAGTCAAAGAAAGTAGGTCTTTTGCAAAACTCCAACATTGATTTCATATAGATTTTCTTCTAATAAATTCGGAGCCTTTTACATTCAGAAGAATTTCAAAGAGCCTCGCAATTCATGGTAATAATTCAAAAGAGACAATAACACAGGAATGAGGATACTGACATATCCTGCCAAGAAAGACAGCATACGAGGTTTAAAACAAGAGTAAATACTCTAAATGTCGATAAAGAGGAATGTCTTTGCCGAAGCCGGTTTGGCTCAGTGGATAGAGCGTCAGCCTGCAGACTGAAAGGTCCCAGGTTCAATTCCGGTCAAGGGCATGTACCTTGGTTGCAGGCACATCCCCAGTAGGAGATGTGCAGGAGGCAGCTGATCGATGCTTCTCTATCTCATCGATGTTTCTAACTCTCTATCTCTCTCCCTTCCTCTCTGTAAAAAATCAATAAAATATATTTAAAAAAAAAAAAAAGAGGAATGCCTTCAAGTAGCCTTTCCATTAGAACTGCAAAGACCCCCTCTTATTTGGAAGGTTTCAGTGGTTAGCCTAGTGCAGTGGTCGGCAAACTCATTAGTCAACAGAGCCAAGTATCAACAGTATGATGATTGAAATTTCTTTTGAGAGCCGAATTTTTTAAACTTAAACTATATAGGTAGGTACATTGTTATTAACTTAATTAGGGTACTTCTAAGGCTTAGGAAGAGCCACACTCAAGGGGGCAAAGAGCTGCATGTGGCTCGCGAGCCGCAGTTTGCCGACCACTGGCCCTAGTGCAATCGTTTCATTTGTTTGCATAACCGTAGGGGTAATCACATGAAAAACAGGCTTAAGGATATACCATCTATTATTTCCTTCACTTAATGTCTGCCTGCCTGAATGGGAACAAGTGAATGGCAAGAACAAAATACAAGTACAGTTGTATTTTCAGAGACAGTGCCGTATTATAAAGCTGGACTTCCAGTTACAAAGAAGAGAATACCATTTGTATTACTTGTAAGATGCGGACATTGAACGGGCCCAAAATTTTAAGTAGATATTGGAAGAGTGGCTGCCATCACATGTTGGTTGTAGCCGGTGGCCTCTGTTTTTCCGCTCATTTCTCACGGGAGCAGATGGCCATCAAGGCTAGGCGTCTGCGCTGACCAGCTGACATGATGATGAACGGAGTAGCATCAGGCTGTTCATGAGACATGTAACGTATGGGTAGCATAGTCTGTTGTTGGTGTTTTGGAACCATCCTCATAATCCAAACAATGATGAGTTCATTTGAAAAAGAAAAAAGCAAGGATGTTCAAAACCTATCCAATCTTAGTTGTTCAATGAACCCAACACACACTCTGCTCCAAATGGATTCTAAGAGGCGACACTGCAGAATCTGTCTGGCTGAAAGCATTTCCCAAAGAGATAACTGAGGGTTGAGGGGGGGGGAGGACGTTCCCAAGATGATGCCCTGTGTCCATCGACCTAATTAATGGACCTCACAAACAAATGGCACACCCAATTTCTCCTACATTATCCCCGAAATCAGGGCTTTACATAGCAATGCCTTCTCCCTTTTGGCTGTCAGTTCAAAGAACAATGAATAGTCACAGTAAAAATAAAAACATGATAAAACAATCAAAACTCCTACAATCCTTGAATAAAATGCTTCAAGGATCTAGTTGGCTCTTTCAGAAGCTGCATTATGGGTTTCAAAGCTTTGCCTGTTTCCTATTCTTTTTACTTGCCTACCTTAGCCTACCTAAGCACATTCTGAAAAAATATATAATAATAATAATAACAACAACGAAATAAGATGAGAGAGGTGTGTCCTCCAAAACACGTCGGGTGTAGGACGGGGGCGCGCTCTCTCTTTCCCTCTCTCTCCCCATTGGAGGGAGAGCCGGAGGCAGACCTGGCCTTGAGTCATATTGATTTCCCAGCGCACTGATTCCTTAAGTGCTCTGCTGATCCGTGTCAGACAATACGTTCCCTGCCTGAGCGTGCACATCACCTCCATCTCTCCTCACCTAGATTTAAGGTGCCCATGTGATGAGCCGAACAAGGACATCATTTACTCCGGGTGTCGCCGGGCCCCGCCACCGCATGTGTTATAACTGATGCGGCGGACGGTCACATTTACAAAGGAGATGACACGGCGGAGGTCAACACCGCGCTGTGATGGGGGGGGGGGGGGGGGGCGGGGGGGAGGACAGGGGTGTCCTGTTCTGGTTGCGTGTGTCTCCCAAATGAAAATGTAAATGAGAACCAGCCCCGAGAAACCTGGCTTTCACGGGCTTCTGACTACCACCCCCTCCTCGCAGCCCAAACCCTGGGGCAGGGAGACAGGCGAGGTGAGCGGGATGAATATTCGTGATGTTCCTGACGGTTTTTATCTTTGTTCCAGAAGAGCTCCTAAGCAGAGAGATAGGCGATGTGTGATTGTGCTGCTAATGACATTGTACAGGAAATTGAGCGTATGCATTTGGAGGAGGCATTAAATCAGCAGGACCTTAATTTAAAAACTGAACACTGTATGGAAAGCCGGCCTGCTCGGCGCTGGGGGTTAGACGGCCACCCAGCACCCCGAGTGTGTTTACGGGGGCATCTCAGCAAACCGAGGGGGGGCAGGGCCTCTGAATGGCCCCACGGGTGTGCAGGGTTAGGTCCTCCAGGAGGCGCCCGCCCTGACCATTGGGAGTCCCAGTCACTGCTTCAGAGCGAGAGCCCCACCAGCAGGCAGGAAGGGCTGGAGAACTGAGAGCAGCGTGAGAGGTGGTTCTTGGCTAATTTGTGGAATAACGTGACGTAAAACTCATCCAAAGGGGCTGGGCTTGCCGTCGCTGGGCACAGCCCCTGAGCCACTGTTGGGGGGGGGGGGGGGGGGGGCGTGGCGGCGCCCTGCTCTGCTGTTGGCTCTCTCCTTCCGACGGACTTCATCTCATGTTCTGTACACTTTGGTGAAAGCAAATACCTAGTGAGCCACAGGCAGGGGCTCAGGTGGAAACGGTCACACATCTGTGTCTGTTCTTCATTCCAGTCATGCCCTACAACAGCGCCCACCACTGCGTCGTGGAGGTGGAGAACTTCCTGTTCGTGCTGGGCGGAGAGGACCAGTGGAACCCGAACGGTAACTATATATTTTTTAATATATTTTCTATTGATCTCAGAGAGGAAGGGCGAGGGAGAGAGAGAAACATCAGTGATGAGAGAGAATCATTGATCGGCTGCCTCCTGCACACCCCCCACTGGGGATGGAGCCTGCAACCCCGGCATGTGCCCTGACTGGGAATCGAACCATGACCTCCTGGTTCCTAAGTGGACACTCAGCCACTGAGCCGCACCGGTGGGGCCTGATGGTAACTGTTGAACAAGGCAATAGCGGCTGGCCCACAAGGACGTGTGCCAGGAAAGGCCCTGGTAACTGTCCAGCATCATGACTGCGGGCGGTGTGTGTCTGATGTGTGTGTGTGTGTGACTGCGGGCGATGTGTGTCTGATGTGTGTGTGTGTGACTGCGGGCGATGTGTGTCTGATGTGTGTCTGTGACTGCGGGCGATGGGTGTCTGATGTATGTGTGTGACTGCGGGCGATGTGTGTCTGATGTGTGTCTGTGACTGCGGGCGATGGGTGTCTGATGTATGTGTGTGACTGCGGGCGATGGGTGTCTGATGTATGTGTGTGACTGCGGGCGATGTGTGTCTGATGTGTGGCTGTGACTGCGGGCGATGTGTGTCTGATGTGTGTGTGTGTGACTGCGGGCGATGTGTGTCTGATGTGTGGCTGTGACTGCGGGCGATGTGTGTCTGATGTGTGGCTGTGACTGCGGGCGATGTGTGTCTGATGTGTGTCTGTGACTGCGGGCGATGTGTGTCTGATGTGTGTCTGTGACTGCGGGCGATGTGTGTCTGATGTGTGGCTGTGACTGCGGGCGATGTGTGTCTGATGTGTGTGTGTGTGACTGCGGGCGATGTGTGTCTGATGTGTGGCTGTGACTGCGGGCGATGTGTGTCTGATGTGTGGCTGTGACTGCGGGCGATGTGTGTCTGATGTGTGTCTGTGACTGCGGGCGATGGGTGTCTGTGCCTCGGGGACCCGGAGGAGGCAGGGAGGTGGGCTGTGAGGGGAGAGAAGGTCAGTCCTGAGCTGGCAGAGGATGCCCGCAGCGCACTCACTCACTCGCCGGCTGCCTGGGGCCTCAGCTCTGAGCTGGCGCCCGGCCTCTCCTCACCGGCCCTCGAGGGATGGATGCCACGGCCACGCACGGCCTCCCAGAGGCAGGTGGCCAGCTGCAGCTGCGAGGATTCCCACCTTCTCCACCACGGGGCTCCGTCCCACAGCGTCATGATGCAGCTTCAGTAACGAAGCGTGATCGGCAGCCGCGCTGCACGAAACCTGCGCGGAGGTGCCTGTGCGGCTTCTATTCCCGGAGACCGTGGCAGGCGGCCCGCCCTTCCCGGCTTCTTCCGCTGCCCACCGCCACCCCGGCCGCTGGCGTGGGAGCCTCGGGCATTCACCGCAGAGAAAGGAAGCCCTCGGACACGTCCCGAGCCCAGCCCGAGGGCAGCGCGGGGCCTGGCAGGACACGCAGCCTTTCCACGGTCTGGGGGAAGCTCGCACGCGGAGGAGCTGCGGCTGCACCTCCTGCTAACGGGTGCTCATGGCTGAGAAGCCATCAAACAGCTGCAGGTACACGCTTTCACGTTAAAGCCCGAACATCCCGGTGAGATTACGTAGGCCGCATGTATTTTAGCGCGAATGCTCTCCTTCGGCATCTGCACAGGCAAGTCATAGAGAATCGGCACATCTGTTCATTCTAGAAGATCTTAAAGGAACACCACCCGGCCACCCTCCGGGACCTTTTCTCTGAAGCGAGGGCACATTCTTCGGCGAGACCTGCAGCCCTGTTGGTGCACGGCTTTCCTTGCTGGAAAGGGACAGCTTCTGGCCTTGAGAGAATAGGAGCGAAAATGATGTCATCACTCTCCTCCAGCTTTTCTTTGAAATGACGGCTTTGATGCTACCAAAGGCCCCGCATACCTGCAACCCCGCCCCCCCAACAAACACCCCAATGGCAGCTTAACCCAGCCTTCCTCGGTGGTGATTTCCGCTGACCGGAGCACCTGTAAGGGAACGTGCAGTCCTGTCATCAAGTTTATCTGAGCAAAGGATCTGCAGAACCTTCTCTTTAAAGGCCAGGCGAAAGCTAGCCCCTGACCAAAGGCCCGGCCTGCGGCCTTGCTTCCGATGGCAGCCCTCTCCGCCCACCTCTTCCCAGGTGAATGGCCGCCGTCACAGTACCAGCCTCCGCCACACCTCACTGTTCACAGAACCCTGCTACCGGCCATTTCTCTGAGACCGGCCCTCATCAACCACCAGAAAACCTGCCCCGGGTTATCTCCCCCAGAATGACCCGCAGCAGCTTTCTGCTCTGCTTCTATCAAACACAGCTCAGAGGGCCCGGTGGGGGATGAGGATGGACATACTCCTTCCTCTACTTCAGAGAAGCAAGATTTTACCTTCAACTAATGCAGACTCCCGCGAGACTGGCCAGTGGGCCTCCCTGGTGTGCCTCCCCCCACCCTGAGAAGAACAGCAATTTGCTTGAAAGCCCTCATTGAAGATGCTGTGAGCCAAGATTCCGGAAAGCATAGCATTGCTTTCCTGTGGGGACGCCTGTCACCACCCAGCCAGCTCTGTGTGAGCCCCACGTGACACGTTCTTGTCAGACCAAAGTCTTGAGTCACTTTTGAAAATTATAGCTAATGCTATTCATGTGATTTAATGTGCATCTTCTCTCTCGCTGTAGCTACTCAGAATTGAATTTTAGTGAAACCTTAAGTACTGTATTGTAATTTTACTTTTTAGTCTCGCTATGGCAGCTCACTCTCTCTTTCCCTAAGACCCTTTTTAAACCTTGGGGATCCCACCTGCAGTGCTGGGGCATCCTGTCCCTGACCTGTGTGGCATGTGACATCATCTAGTGTAGGTCTGGGGAAATGCAGAGGAACCACCGATTGGCCCTCCCAAATAGAGGAGAATCGTTACTCTATGAAGCAAACAGCCCCGCCTCTTGTACCCTTAGGTCAACCTGAATCATTGGCTGAGGCCTTCTCCCAGGTGAGGGCTCAGGACGAGCAGGGAGGGGCCTGTTCTGCTGAGGTCAGTTCTACAGAGTGGGAGCAGCTGTGGCCGTGAGCACCCAACACTCACAGCAGGTGGGAAATGGGTGCACCAGCCTGGTACAGGGGCCTAGGCTAGGAACCGAAGCACACACTCACCACAACCCCTTCAGTGTTTTCCATGGGGCTCCACGTACCGTCCATCTGGTAAACCACAGCTGACCTTGTTGGCAGTAAGAGTCGTATTTATTGGGGACTCATTTTTTGCCAGGAGCTTGGCCAAGCACCCACCTCATCATTTCAAATAAAGCTCCCAGCCATGATTGTGGTTCTCCTGTGAGGAGACCAAGCCTGGAGAGGCGGGATAACGTGCACAGACACACCGCGTGCAAGAGGCTGAGCTGCTTCAGTGGAGGCCTGTCTGACTCCAGGGCAGCGATGGCGAACCTTTTGAGCTCGGCGTGTCAGCATTTTGAAAAACCCTAACTTAACTCTGGTGCCGTGTCACATATAGAAATTTTTTGATATTTGCAACCATAGTAAAACAACGACTTATATTTTTGATATTTATTTTATATATTTAAATGCCATTTAACAAAGAAAAATCAACCAAAAAATGAGGTCGCGTGTCACCTCTGACACACGTGTCATAGGTTCGCCATCACTACTCTAGGGCCTCAGTCTTTAAACCACTTCTTTTCTAGTCAACACCTGACTGTCCTCCCAGCCACCCTCTCTAATGGGGACTGGGCTTCTCGACCTTCTCACTCTTCATAGGATTGGAGGCAGGTAGCAATTTTTACTTCCTCTTCATTGCCAGCCCCACGCCCCGAAGACTCATCCCTTCAAAGGATGATTTCTGATTATTCCACCTGCTGCCCCTCTCTGTGGCAGCTCTCCACTGTTTTCTGCATAATGCCACCTCCTTCACTCGACCCCACCACTTTTTCACTGTCCATCAGCCCCTTGTGTCTTTGTTTCCCTCCATACTGAGTTTGTATTCCATTGTCTATACCTATAATCAGTCACACTGGTACACACACAGTCACATTGCAACCCTCATGTCTGCCTCCTTGCATTATACTTACCTAGTAAAGCCTGGGTCCTGGTTACATCCATTCTGTCCCACCTCTTCCCGGCCCCTGAGCAACTCCATGTGGATATAGACAACCACAGCCACTCTGGCTCCTATGCGCCATGCTGACAACTAGCCAGCTGCACTTCAAATTGTCCTGATCAGTACACTCTCCCACCCTCCTGCTTAACTATTCCACGCCTTCTCTCTCAAATGCCTTTCTCCAAAGCCTCCCTCCTCACTCAGCATAGCCTCTCTTCTTAGTTCAATTACAATAGAAGCAATGGAGGATAAACATCTGTATCTGCTCCTACCAAGTCTATGCACATGTATCTGAGGCTACCCATATAGTCTATCTTTTCTCCTGTGGTTGTTTCTGCCCCTGTCTAAGGCCTGTTCTTCATTCCCTCTTGCTTGCTCAAGCACTTTTGCAATACTTCCAAACTTAAAAGCACAACCAAATAGAAGCTTCTTTAGGCGGTATATCCTCCAGCAATAATCTTCTTCTTTTCATGGCAGAAGTTCTAGAAAGTACTCCCTACTCTCTTTTCCATGCTTTCTCATATTTTAGTCTCCTAGAGGAGTCCCCACTCGGGCTTTCATTCCCACCCGTCCATGGAAGCAGCCACCTGTCCAGGCCACCACCAACCTCGCTGTTGTCAAATCGAATGTTTAATTTTCAGATGCTAACTCCTCTTTTTGAAACACTATTTGACACAGCTTCCAAAATGCCACACTTTTCCTCCTGTCTCTGACAATGCCTTTTCTTTGCTAGTTTTCCTCCTTCTATCCCAGGGCTAATTCCCAGGATTTGAATTACCTTCCATCGTCATACCTTCTGCCTAACGCGGTTTCCTTCTGTTCGATGACTTTAAATAATACTTCTGGAATAATAATCCCAAAACTTGCACCTACAGCCTCATTTGGCCAGTGGTCTAGCAGGTACTTCCACTTTGAGATCCCATAGGCCTCTCAAGGTCAAGTCCAAAGCTAGGTGACTTCTCTCCTCAACCCCCAAACTACTCCTGCTGGTTTTCCCCACCTCAGCAAATCGCATGGCCTTCTGTCCAGTTACTCAGGCTAAAAACCTAGCAACCTTCCTTCATCATCTTCTCTTTATCTCAAACTAATAATCAGAAAATTTTATTGGCTGTTTCCATGCAGTAGATCCCAAACCTGACCATGTCTCACTGCCAGAACCTTCCTGCAATGACCTCCTGATAGCTCCACTGCTTCGAGAGCGGCGCCTCTATAGTCTGTTCTTCACGCAGCAGCCAGAGTAATCTTTGTAAGAGACAAATTAGGCCATATTCCTTGCTTGCTCAACACCCCTCACATGCCTGCCTTCGTTCTTATAACAAAAGGTGCAATCCTACCCTCGTCTATAACACACACTGCTCTGGACCTTGACATGTCTCCGGCTTCTGTCCCAGCCGCTCCAGCGTTCCTGCTGGGTTTGAATTCATGAGCAGCCCAGGAGTTTCTGCTCCATACCCCATGGCCTGAGAGGCTCGTTCTGCAGGTATTTGCATGGCTTGCAGAAGGCATCTGTGGCATTCTACCTAAGCTGGCCTCCCCTCTACCAATCCCTGGCCTTCATCTACTTGACAATATAGTCTATACTTGTTTATTCATTGACCAAAGCAGGAACTTAGCCTTTCTTTTCTCCCCCAATATATCAGCAGAATCTAGAACACATAAGACACATAATAAGTACTCAATAGATAATTGTGCAATTAATAATTGGGTTTTGTGAAACCACGCATGTACATGCGTGCGCGCGCACACACGCACACACATCTCAGATGATTGTCATTTCAGGTGCTACACAGAAAATGGAATACACTCTTTGGCTTCCATTTCTTGGTGACAATCTGTGTGTAAATAAGAATAGTTTTTATGCCTCAGAGGCATTGCTGTGCTTGGGTTCAGCGGAGGGGATAAGCTGGCTACCCAGCTCCAAGGGCTCATGTTCCCCATTCAGCACTTATACCTGCGCTAGGTCACAGCAACTGTGCTTCCCTTAAATACACACACACAACGTACACAACACGCATAGATTAAAACTGACTTCCTTAAACCTCAGATTGTGGCGATTGCCACTATTTCCACAGAGAGAGAGTGGGCTCTCCCACTCCTGGAATTCTGGGATCATTTAAAAAATAAAAATAAAAGCTCTAACCAGAGATATCACACAGGGTAGTCTTGGAACTGATGCTTTATAGGCAATAACTTCATGTTTTTAAAGCATAAAAACGCCAAAGCCAGAGTGTTTTGCCCTAACTTTGGGATAACACTGGCTTGACAGACATATTTGCTCATATTATTATGGTTGATTTATTTGTATCGGAACTCATTAAAAGGGGGCAGAGAAGGGAGGAAAAGGGATAAACATTGGTGGTGGCTCGTTTATTCTTCTACTGACTTCACTTCTCAACCCCTGTTAGAGAGTCCCTCTACTTTAGGCATCTATTTGTATAGCCTGAGAACAGAGGTATCTTATAAAATACTATTAAATGTGGAAAACAACAACAGAACGAATCTAAGTTTTATATCTTTTACAGGAAAACACAGTACGAATTTTGTCAGTCGATATGATCCCCGATTTAACAGCTGGATACAGCTTCCACCCATGCAGGAAAGGTAAGTGTTTATTTTTCATGTTGGAAACACTGGTGGCGGCTGACAGGAAGCCTGGGTGCTGGGAGGTCTGCCCTGATGAGGCATGCTCAGTGGGACCAATGAAAGGTAAATGAGGCAACATACACACCTTGGGCTGGCCGGTGTGGATGAGCTGCCTTGGTAACTCAATGGAGAAAAACAATCAAGTGAGTCAATGATTTATCCTCACGTAGGAAGAAGACAATTGCATGACTGTTCTTCCTTCTCTACATTGCATTGGCTTTGGGGCAAGCAGAGCTGCACTCTCACCGGCTAGCCCACTCTCCTTGGCTAGGATATATTTAAATCCTAATTGAAATATAAAACATCGTTTTCACAGTGAAATCTGCATTTTGATGCTCAGATTTCAATATTGAAGTTTTCAAGTCTCACTGATTCAAATCCTTCCCATTTGCCTCCTCCACTATCTTTCCATCATACATTCAAGAGCAGGTCACTTGTTAGCTTTAAAATAAACAGTTTTGTAAGGTGTGCTCTCATTTTTAATATACAGTGTTTATCTCACCCAATGCTCCTAGTGCCAAAGGATATGATGACAACTACACTTACACCTCTTGGGCTCTCCTGGCTGTTTCATAGGCATGAGGCCATGTCTTAATGTGCCTATGCAAGTTCTCATGCTAAATTTTCCACACTTGGTTCTTTTCAAATAATATCTTCACATCCTCTTGAGCAAATTCTTCAGTCTAATTGTAACAATAATTGACAACCTATTTGCTCGATGGAATTATTTAAGAAATAATTTCTTATTTCTTTCATGACCCTTCACCTTAACATTTCCTTTTTTAAAAAGCATTCAAACAGATTGCACTGAGATCAAATTAGATCCTTAATCATATATTCCAAGTTAAAAAGAAATTTTCAGCGCTAGCCGGTTTGGCTCAGTGGATAGAGCATCGGCCTGCGGACCAAAGGTTCCTGGGTTCAATTCCAGTCAAGGGTGTGAACCTCGGTTGCAGGCTCCTCCCCAGCCCAGGACCTGGTCAGGGCTCGTGCAAGAGGCAACCAATTGATGTGTTTCTCTCATCATCAATATTTCTCTCTGTCTTTCCCTCTCTCTTCTACTCTCTCTAAAAATCAATGGGAAAATATCCTTGGGTGAGGATTTTTTTAAAAAAGAAATTTCAGATCATACCATTCATTCAAAAATGGACATTACAACAGGAAGATGATGAATCTATGCTATAAAGAAACTTACTTTCTATTCCATATACATATATTAAGACTTTCTTATAGGACACTAAGGGCCACACACTGAAAATAGCAAGGCACATTGTATTAAAAGGATCACAGACGCGTTTAGGAATGTCTGGTTGAAACGTGCCTCAACAAAGGACTCTAAGCCAGTTAATGCCCTGACTTCCGCTCAGCCTTCCTGCTCCTGTGCCTGGGCGCCTACAAGCCTCCGGGGGTCTTTCTTCTGGTCTCTCACGTGTGGGGCTTCTCTCCTGGTTGCCGTTATTGTGGCCACATCACTTCACCCTTTCATCCAAATCGTTCAAGAAAGTTCCACTTCAACCATATTTTAAAAGTGAACATCAATAACATATTTGAAGTGTCAGCATCTCCTCACCCGGGCCCCCTTCGCTGGGGGCTGCGCACCAGATCGTTAACCTTCACGCCGTGGCTTTGGGAGGCATCGCTCACGTCGCGGTCAATTATCTCACTGTAGAGCCCCTCGGGATGAGAAGCGTTGCTGCAAAAACCTAATTAGTAATTTTTTCAAATGTGCATTGTTTACTTGATACCCGATAATGACTTCCTCGGAGGCACTCTGGCCTCTCCTGGCAGGGTCCTACGGAGACGATTTTGAGCAGCTCATTGACCTGATAAAAAGGCCTGCCATGGTCCGTCGGCGCCCGGCAGCCACCGTTGACAGGATGGACTGTCGAACGTTTCTTCCCGAGTCATTATGGTACATCATGTCAGGTCCCTGGTAAGAGGGGGTTTTTACATTGAGAGCAATCAACTCGATAAAGCAAATAGAGAGCTCCTGGCCGCGCGGAGGGGCAGAGGCAGAGCTCGCGGATGCCCCGTCCATCTTCGGGCTCCGCGTCCGTCTCCTCTGGGTTGGCGGACCCAGGCGCAGTCCGTAGCTGAAAGTGAAATGTTTCTGTCTTCGCTGCCGCTCAGACTAGCAACAGTGGTCAATTACTAGCGTGGTCTAGCTGGTGATTAAACAAAGAAGGGGAAAACCAGAACATATGAGACACAGGCTATAGATCAGAGAAGAATTTCCTTAAATGTTTGAGTTCATTCGCGTTGTGTAGATCATGAATCAAACTCACCAGAAGTTTCCCACGCCACCCCATTCTCTTAGCTGCTACCAAACTGCTAATTAAGTTACCAAACTGGTTGAGAAGAATAGAATCAAGTTGGAAAACACTCGGGGGTAACCCATTCTCTGCATTACAGAGCTGGCTGGACAGATGGCTAGGCCAGCTTCCCTCATTAGCGCACCCAAAAGAGTATGATCCGGTGCAGACTACCATTCCCGGTCACCGGGCAATGGCCCCACGGCCGCCAGGCTTCCTCAACCACAGGCCCGCTCCTGAATTGCATGCCTGCTGCCTATGAATTTACTGACGGAAATAAACAAAAATATAAATTTAAATGTCATGCAGAGGGGTTGTTTTGGTCTCAGATTTAGGATTTGATTCTTTAGAAAGAAGATGAGGGTGAAAATGAAAACTTGGCTCAATAGAAACGCTTTGATGACTTTGAATTTTTTTATAAAAATAGACATTTTAGGTATTCTTATGGAGATTTTATTCCCTAGCTAGCCTGGGGGGGGGGGGAATGGGGGGGGGGGTAGGAGGGAGGGAGGAGGGAGAGAGGGAGGGAGAGAAAAAGAAAAAGCAGTTTGGAGAACAGAAACAAAGCATATGTTTCACAAAGTGAAATCTGGAAGCAAATACATCAGAAATTTTCCAAAGTTAACTATTTGTTTCTGGAAGCCTTACAAGAGACGATATTCTGTTTGAAAATCTGCTTTAAGCTGATGATGAAATTCAAAACTGCAAGCTGAGATGAGGTTGTGATTATTCAGTCTCAGGCTGTACATGTAAACTGACCGCCCGAGGGTCAGAAGGACGGGGAAAAACCGGTACAATATTCAGGATTTGATGCATGTTTGTAGATGTTACCGTCGTCCTTTGTAACTTATCTCAACCCATTGAGCATTAGCTGTGGCGGTGGAGTAAGGGGGGTGTCGTAGGGGGGGAAGAGATGAACAATTTAAATACACTGTAATCCCATTAAGGAATCTTTAATCATCTTACCTAACTCTTCCAAAAAGAGCCTAAATAGCCTACACCAGGTGTGCCCTCAGGTGCAGAGGCAGGGCAGGGAGCTTGCCCAGCAGACCTGGCCTGGGCAGATTTGCACCCAGAACAAACGCTCACAGTGGCTGACAGGCCATGACCCAGTGTGTCACGCAAGGGATGGAGTCAGAGACCCGGCATCTTCACTGCCAGGGTTGCTACAGGAATATGCACTTTTGTCAGGAAGGGAAACCCACTGGGCTGCTTTTTCCCATTTAGATCCTAACAGTGACACTGTGTGGATGAAGCCAGGAGTACACATGGAGCATCAAATCAGGAAGCCTCGGCTAACAGTGGGGAAGGAAGGAGAAGGGAGAATAGTGAAATGTAGGTGCTAAAAGGAGTTCACGCCTCCAAAGGGGGCTCTTCCTCGTATGCTCCACTACCAAAGCTTGAATAGAGGGTTTGCATCCTTGTCATGATTGATGGGCGTTTTTCTTAGGCCAGTATACTAGTATAGTGCATAGGACTCCCCACCTTACAGCCCACATTGTCCAAATTACTTTTAAATGGCACAGCAGTGACATTAGTAAACTAATTCTTCCAGGGGCTCTAAGACCTGTCACAGGCTCATATGGGAAAGGGATCCTGTTTCAATGGTGCAATTAAATATCAATGTCCAGATTTTTATAGACCTGTGTCAGTCTTCTCAATGAATCGTTTTAACTGAGGAGGGAAAATCACCAGTAAAATCATCTTGACTTATCATAGTTCATAAGAGAGCAGTAGGAATCTGGCTAGAGAAATGAAAAGATTCATCTTACAACTAAAACTGTGTACCCTTTGACCAACCACTTCCCCATCTATGTGCACTTAATTTCGTAATTGTTTAAACCTAATTTTATATCTCAGTGAGTTTTTACTCCTCTATCCCAGGAAACCCCAATTTATTTTAGGTTTGCGTTTCTTTGAAAATATGATTAAATCTTCCTCCAAAACCTTTCTCCATATTCTTCCTCAAAATGCACATCTGCAAAACACCTTCTAGTACAATTTCAAAAGAGCTGCATGGACTCCTCAGAAGACACGGCCCAGGTGAACCACCCTTACTTTGTGAAATCTGTTGCTCCTGCTCTTCATTCTCCTTCCTACGGATTCCTTCCTTCTTTTTCCATCATTCTTGTTCATCTTCCTCCTGAATTTTCCGCAGCACATACGTTTTTCAAAAGCATCAAGAAAAATATAGAAAAAAAAACAAACATAGCCAAAATATGACTCTAACAATTTCAGGACTGTGAAAAATAACTGAACCATATGATCCCACAATCCCACTTCTGCATATATGTCCGAAGGAACCAAAGTCAGTATCTTGAAGAGATTTCTGTACTCCTATGTTCATTGTAGCATCAGTCACTATAGCCAAGATGTGAGAACAGCCTTGTCTGTCCAGAGATAAGTGGGTAAAGAAAACATGGTGTATGCATAAAATAGAATATTATTCAGCCATAGAATTGAAGGAAATCCTGCCATTTGAAACAGAAAGTCATTATGCTGAGTGAAACAAGCCAGATGGAGAAAGACAAACACTGTATGATGTCATTTATATGTGGAATCTAAAAAATGTTGAACTTAAGGAAACAGACTAGGATGGTGATTGCCTGGGGCTAAGGGCAGGGTGAGGGGGAGTGGTCGGTCAAAAGGTACACAATTTGAGTGGAGATGAATAAGTTCTGAGGATCTGATGTCCGGTGACTATAGTTAATAGTGGATTATACGCTTGAAATTTGCTAAGATAAGAGGATAGATCTTAAGGGTTCTCATAAAAATATGGGGGGTAACTATGTCAGGTGATGGATGTGTTAATTAACTTCCTAGTGGAAATCCTTTTACAATGTATGCATGTATTAAATCATCACATTTTACACTTTACCTATATTATAATTTTATTTGTCAATTATACTTCAATAAAGCTGGAAATAAAATAAAACTGAATACATCACTATATATAGCATTTATCATACTTATATGGTAATAAATCATCTACAAAAATAAAGAATTTAGTTGTCACTTAAAATGTAGGGGTGGGCAAAAGAAGGTTTACAGTTGTGAGAAAGCAAAATAGGATTTATTATATTTTTATTTATTAATTATTGTATTGTTTGCTTTTATGATTTGTTTTATTGTTATTATTTCATATCCTTACTTATGATTTATCTTTTAGGTAATGATGGCTGTTAATTTGACCAATGAGCAACAAAAGTGGATATTTAATACTGTAAACTTACTTTTGCCCCACCCCTGTGTAATTGAGAAAAAAATGTATATGCAAATATTTTTAATTTTATTTTTCAATTACATTTAAAATTATTCTGTATTGGTTTCAGGTGTGCAGAGTAGCAGTTGGGCAATCATGTACATTACAAAGTGTTACCCCCAATATTTCAAGTAACCGCCTGCCACAAACATAGTTATTACAATATTGTTGACCATATTCCTTACACTTCACTTTATATCTCAGTGACTGTTTTATAACTACCAATTAATACTTCTTAATCCCTTCACCTTTTTCACTGAGTCCCTCAACCCCCCTCACCTCTTACAGCTGTCAGTCTGTTCTCTGAATCTATGGGTGTGTTTCTGTTTTGTTTGTTTGATTATTTTGTTCTTTCGATTCCACATATAACTGAATTCACTTGGTATTTGTCTTCCTCTGTCTGACTTATTTCACTTAGCATAATACCTTTTAGGTCCATCCATGCTGTTGCAAATGTTAAGATTTCATTGTTTTTATAGCCAAATAATATTCCATGGTAGATGTACCACAGCTTTTTTACCCACTCATCTATTGATGGGCACTTGGGTTGCTCCCAAATCTTGGCTATTGTAAATAATGCTGCCATCAACCTAGGGGTGCATACATTCCTTTAAATTAGTGTTTGGGGTTTCTTCAGATATATACCCAGAAGTAGAATTGCTGGGTCATAAGGCAGTTCCATGTTTAATTTTTTGAGGAACCTCCACACATCTTGATGGCTGATTTTTAAAGACATATTCAGGTAATATTGACGGATGGGTCCTGTGCATGAACCAAACACTGGGCACTGTAACAAGCACTTCACGTGTATTTGCAAGTAACCCTGTAAGGAAGGCACCATCATCAACCCCATGTGACAGATGAGCATTCTGAGTCTGAGAGGGTTAAGTGATGAGTCAAAGGCCATGCACCCAGTAAATCGTAGAGCCAGGCCATTTTATTCCAGACACCAAACAGTCCATCAAGATGCTACTAGTATATACTGCTTCCCCAAGGTTGGGCTCTCTGTAAACACAACTCGGAAAATCTCCAAACCATATACACTGAGTGGCCAGGTTATTATGACCACCCCATCAGTACTTCGTTGGGCCACTTTTTGCCTTCAATACTGCGGCGATTCTTCTTGAGTCAATGCCATATCTTATTAGTTACCAAGTCTTGCATCTTTCTTTAAAATACCTTTTTTGTCACCCCTTTCCATGTCTTCTACTAAAACTCCAATTTACGTCTTTAACACTTCACTCCTGGATTATGGTCTACCTCAGGTTGGTCTTCTTGTCTCCAATCCTTTTGACACAGCTTGCATCTTATGCTTTTGGTGACATAGTGAGATAATCTAATAAAGAGCCTCTCTTGAAAAGAGACTAAAAAATATCCCATAGCTTTGTAAGAATCAACACCAAATATTACATACGTGAAATACCTGCAATGGCTTATATAACAGCAACTTTTCAACACTATATTCAGTTCACAAAAGTTTCTCTATTTGCCGTAGTACTGGGGGCGGAGTGGGGGGGGGAGAAAAAAAAGATAATTGAAGAAAAATTTTGATGATGTAGTTCTCTTATAAATTGGGAACAATGACCCTTGAAGGACCGTAAAGAAAGTGAATGTCAAGATAATTTATTATTGTTGCGTTATCTACCTCATTTTTCACTTTGTCTTACTGAGCTGTGATATCCTTCCAGCGTATACCAAATATCCCAAACATTAGTGAACGCTTTACCAGTGTATCCAAGAAAGATAAAAAAGAGCTCAAACAAAGAGTTAGTGAACTGCCCCTCTGCTGTCACTTTAATATCAGAAATGTGAGCCAGAATGGGCCATGCGTGCGACCGCTGTGTAAGGTCTCAGATCTAGAAGGTAGCTATCTGTGTGATTTCCAACGGCTTGCACCCTTTCTGAAGCTGACATACCTCCTTTTCCCGACCCACTGGGCTCCTTTTGTGACTTACGGTGGATTGTTGCTTTCGTTGTAGAAGAGCCAGTTTCTACGCGTGTCGGTTGGACAAACATTTATACGTTATTGGTGGAAGGAATGAAACCGGCTATTTGTCCAGCGTGGAGTGCTATAACCTAGAAACAAACGAATGGCGTTATGTGTCCTCTTTGCCACAGCCCCTGGCAGCTCACGCAGGAGCCGTGCACAACGGGAAAATATACATTTCAGGCAAGTCATCCCCCGCTTTCTGCTACAAAGTTCAGTTGCAAGTAGCTTTCTTGACTTGTATGTGTGTGTTTAATCCACAGGGGGTGTGCACAATGGAGAGTATGTCCCATGGCTCTATTGCTACGACCCCGTGATGGATGTCTGGGCTCGCAAACAAGATATGAACACAAAACGCGCCATCCACACTTTGGCTGTAATGAATGATCGCTTATATGCAATTGGAGGAAATCATTTGAAAGGTCTTTTTTAAGAAAATCACAATAACATTTGCATTTCATGTTTCTCGCTAAAGGGGTGTCTCCTTAGATAATCATAGTTAATTTACCAGTACCATTGGGCAAGCATCTATTTTGGCTCCTTTACAAGATAGGATTATTTTTTTAAGTTACCACACATATTAAGGAAATGAATAATAATGTCTCCAGAAAATTAAAAAATGAAAGCACTAATAACTGAAAAAGCACAAACAATTTGTTGTAACAGTGGATTCAGTAAAAATAAATTATTCCTTATCAACAAAGTTATAGTAATGGATTTTGTCCACAAAATTGTTTTCTCTAGTAATCATAAAAACTGTAGTCATAGCTGTGCAAAGAAGCTAATATGTGATTTTTCTTAAGGAAAACACTTAGAATTTCATGTCTAAATTTAGAATTATCTCTTTTAAGGCTCATCTATGATTCTCAAAGTTTTTCTATTTGCTTTTTTTAAAATAAAAATCCCTGCTTAAAGCACAGTATTTTTAGAGCCATGTCTTGGTTCCTCTCCTTCGCACGTGTGCGTGACTACATATTTTTGTAGTGTATGCATGTAAATGTAACTTTATGTGCAGTTGAACTTGATAGGAAAGCAGAGAGATAATGCTATTGAGATTGTTATTAGCTGCTTTGGGCCTCAGTTTCCTCATCTGAAAATGAAGAAACTGGTCTAGTTGGTCTCTAAAAACTCCTGAAGCTCTGACCTTCCAGGATCCTTGAAATTGAACTAAATGAGAACGAGGCCATCTGGTATGGTAGATAAGGCCCATCTGAGCATTTATGTTTCAATTAGATAAACAACTTTTTAAAAATAGCTTACACATAGACTTTTTCTATTTTTCTTAATACATGTTTACCCCTAAAGATAATAAAGACCAGACAAGTATAACTTTAATGTAAATATATCCAAGTTCATATTGAATCAGAAGTGCCATTTCCTGGTCTCTGCTGCTCGTCTTTGAGCTCTCCCAGTGGAGGCGGATTGTAGTTACTGCTGCTGCTCTCCCCCTTTGTTTTTCTCCTTCGCTGGTGCTCCTTCATGTCAGCACATACTCCATGGCCTTTGCATCCACATGTTTTATATTAACTTTGTAGTTGTCTGCATTAAAACATGACTTCTACTAATTTCTTTGCACAAGAATGCCTACTTTAGGAAATTTTCATATTTATGGTTATACTTGGACAGGAAAGATTTGAGTAATGACAACCTACATGAAAAATAGCACACACACATCAAATTAGGCTGGCTCAGGGCGGCCTTGTGGCTTAGAGGAAAGGGTGTGGACGTCGCATCTAAGCTCAGATTTGAATCCCAGTTGTGCACTTACAGTTGTGTGGTCTCACTCAAGGCACTTAACCTCACATCTGGAAATGCGGGATAGTGATCCCATCCTTGGTAGTTGTGAGAATTACAGCCAACGAATTTACTTGGTACAGAGAAGGCACACATATTCTCATATAATGCCACCAGGACCTTAGAACCAAGAATTTGCCCAAATCTTCATTCCCAGTATATATGCTTCAAAACCATCACCAATGATCTTAATGGTAAAGGAAAGAAAATATATCACACAGTTGCAGGAAGCACATTACTCTGTTCTTCCCAAATCTATGTGATTTCTTTTATGTAAAAAGTTACTGGCTTGAAATACTGTGTCTGCCTCTTCAAGAATGAAAATTATTCTACTTTCTGGCCTACCTTGCCAATTAACTTGAAGAGTCCAGTATGCCAATTTATTTATATTATGTGCATTATAATGGTCCGCTAGCAAATATCCGTACTATACATTTAACTAAGGAAAAAAATCATGAAAGACTTAGTTTGCTCAATGGCCATGAAACTTCCACTAGGGTTTTTGACTCCCTAAATTAGAGGCAGGGAGTTGTTCTCTGTGGCCTGGTGGTGCCCCAGCCACTAAGAAGCTTTATCAGAGGGTGGGGAGAAGCCCTGTAGTGGAAGTTAGACCCCCCACTCGAAACCTTGGTCCTTAGTAGATACTGGAACCGGTTCACATTGTCGTAGCTGTTTATAAACTTAGTCAGGTTGCCAAAAAGGTAAAACATGCTGAACAACAAATTTTAATTAAACATTTTGAGAGATTTAAAGATTCATTGAAGAAAAGAAATATAGCCCAGTCTGTGTGGCTCAGTGGTTGAGCAATGACCTATGAACCAGGAGGTCATGGTTCAATTCCCGGTCAGGGCATATTCCTGGGTTGCGGGCTGGATTCCCAAAAGTGGGCATGCAGGAGGTGGCTGATAAATGGTTCTCCCTCATCATTGATGTTTCTCTCTTTTTCTCTCCCCCTCTCTTCCCTCTCTGAAATCAATAAAACTATATATTTTTAAAAAGCAATCTAGTTTAGTCTATAAAAGTAAATCTATAAAACTTTAAAGACTGTTCACTTAGGTTCAAATCTCAGTCTATCTACTTACTGGTCATGTGACTTACTCAAGTCATTATCTCTGTCCCTCAGTTTCCTCATCTACAAAATGAATAGACTGGTATAACTATCTCATAGGATGACTGATGAGATTAAGTGGGTTCATTTATAGAAAGCGCTTTAATAAGCTAGTTGTTTAGCTTATAAAAGCACCCTATAAAATGCTTACTTTAACTCTTACTATTTTAAGCCTTTTAAAAAGTCTCAATAAACCATTTCGAATAAAATCTACCCCCATATAATCAACCAAGGATATCTAGTCAGGCATTCCCGCTTTCAGTTAGTCTGGAACACCCAGAGTCGGGTTGTTTGTTCGCTGTTTGTTTGTTTTAGGTCTTTCTGACACATCTAATTCCACCAGTAAATGCATGCATGCATGCCTTCGAGACACATGACCTGCTTCTGGCTCTAGACCCTTTTTAAAAAGAAGCCCTCGCCTGCAGGTGGGACCCTGAGAGTTCGTTGTTTGTCATTCCATTCTGCTCTGTCGCTTAGGCTTCTCCCACCTTGATGTCATGCTGGTGGAATGCTATGACCCAAAAGGTGACCAGTGGAACATCCTGCAAACGCCCATCCTGGAGGGTCGAAGCGGCCCTGGCTGTGCCGTGCTTGACGACAGCATTTACCTCGTGGGAGGCTACAGCTGGAGCATGGTACGTGCGCATTGAGCTGCTGCTCCTCCTCCCGGTTTGTGCTTGCTTATTTTTTATTTTTGCATTCATTTCAGCTTTTTTTTAAACCTTTATTCTTGAAAGTATTACATATGCCCCCCTTTGCCCCACACTGACTTCTTTTAGCCTGCCCCTGCCCCGCCCTCCCCAGGCCTTCACCACCCTATTGTCTGTGTCCATAGTTATGCATCTATGCATACAAGTTCTGTGGTTGTTTCCCTCAAAATGTGTTACCACCCATGCATGTCCCTTTTAAGAGTATTGTGCTCAAAAAAAGAAAAGAAATAATAATAATAATAATAATAATAATAATGGTGCTTATATGCAAACAGTAAGTTACTTTAGTAATGGAATCAGTGTGATTGCGGTAGAGCTGACTTGCTCTCTGATCGGCTGTGTCATAAGTGGGTTAGGTCTCGGGTTGTCTCCTTCCCCATGCTGTTGCAATTCTGGCTTTCCAAGGAAAAGTCAGACTAAAGTGGCTTTATAAATGTTCTGTTGAAATTGTTCGAATAGGAGAGTCTGAGAAGTTTCTGCCCAGTAAGGCGTGAAAATGGAAACCAGTTGTTTAATATCCACAAATTCTGTTTAGGATATGTAATTTGCCATTGTGCTTCACTTTCCCTCCTTTATCATTAAATTTCCAAACACACCCCAACATTCAGAGCACAGTGGACCCTCATTAACACACCATCCAACTTCAACATCCATCAACATTTCGCCACACTTACCCCATTTATCCTTCGAAATTGTTTTACTGGAGCAATTTGAAGCAAATTCTAGCCATCATATTATTTTATCCTAAATGTGTCAGTATTTATCTTTTTAAAATTATTCATTTATGTAAACACAGTCCCTATCACACCCAACAAATAATTGCTTTATATCCAAAATAATATTCTCCTGAATATTCTCCTGTTCATTTAAAAAATGTATTTTTCACATTGATGTGTTAACACGCGCCTCACTTGTAGGAGTTGTTAGCTCTTACACGTCTCCAACGTTGCCTCTCTCCCACTCTTGTTCCATGCCTCTGACCAGATGAAAAGCAGGGTAAGTTCCATAGGACATCCCGCACTCTACAGTTAGCTAGTGACGTCCTGGTGGCGTCATTTAAAAATCATCTGTGTCCATATTTCCCATAGACTGGAAGTCAGAGATAAAGGCTTAATTAAATTCAGCTCTTCTTTTAAAAAAATTTTTTTTATTTATTTTTGGCAGAAACGCTTGAGGCTCTATAATTCAGCTAACATCACATCAGGCGACACCTAAGGTCTAGTCTACCATCACTTTTTAAAAGATGACTTTTTCTCTTTTTCTATTTATATGTGTTGGTTTTGTAAGACTAATTCAGGGTTTTAATCATGTGAGTTTAGTTATTTTTGGTCGCTTCTAACAAGGGAGTTATGTAAAGTTCTGGGGGGAGCTTTAAAAAGGTATTAGTTATATGGAGGCACATCTGTATTGACATATGTAACTAGATATCAGTACATGTGCCTGTGTGCTGGTGCACATTGCTAGCCGCCAGAGTACCCGTGTTTGGAACCAGACACCAGGAGTCACTTTCAGAAAGTGACGGTTCGGTTGGTGGGGAATTTTGTTTGTTCGTTCCCTCCGATAAAAAGAAGGCCGCTTGGGTCTGGGAAGGGAAATGTTAAACAAGCACCAACCCCAGAGTTTGACAAAGGGAACAAGCTTTTTGTTTGTTTTTCACGTGGCCTCTTGAAAATAAATCAATCAGCGCGCGAAGAGCTCGGCAAGCTTCCGTCCCCAGTTCATTTTAACCCGGTTTTGCGTCCCAGCGCTAATCCCTTCTACAGGATGACATAAAAATGGAAATGTGAGGCAGCGATCTAAAATCCAATTTACTTTAATCATTTGACTATTTAAGGTGAAATTTTTAAAACTTAAACCACCAGGATAATTCCTATTTATTTATTTTTTTTTTTGGTCAATTATTTTAAGGGATTTGTTGATTATCCAGGATGTTCTAGGTACTTAACTTTTCTTATTAGTGACACACGCAGAAAAACCGATTTTAAAATTTTGTCCATCTCAAATTTCCCATTGGATTAAGACAGGTCCAAACGCCCTGCTCTCATTCCGGAGTTTTTAAACAAGAGCAGAGAACTGATCTTTTCTTTGCGGGGTGAAGGGATCAGTCAGCTGCCCTTGCGGTTCTCCGAGCCCGCTCCCTAAGTGCTCTGTTCTGCCGTTGCAGGGGGCCTACAAGTCGTCCACCATATGCTACTGTCCGGAGAAAGGCAGCTGGACAGAGCTGGAGGGGGACGTGGCGGAGCCGCTGGCAGGGCCCGCCTGCGCCCCGGTCATCCTGCCCGCCTGCGTCCCTTACAACAAATGACGCCAGGAAGCCCTGGAGTGACGGTGTCCGCTCTAGGAGACAGCGACAGGTGACATCACTGTTACACTAGGGACGGTGCATTCGAACGGCTGCTGATGCTGTACGAGCGACCGCAAAAGAAGAGGACCTGCTCTTGAGCAGACACTGTGTCTGTGACTCGGATCACAACCAACTCCCCGGTGGTGACAGGCGCTTCCATTTCAGACTGGTTGGAACTTGTCCCAGCTTGACAAAAACACCTCCCGAGGATCTGAACTTTCAGAAGGAGACAGGAAACACACCGACGAGCCCCCCAGAGAGACCTACGATCAGTATTGTGCGTTGTAGTCTACCTGCATGTGGTCTTTGTTGAAGTTTTGGGGATATCGTGTTCATGAATGACTCAAAATTGGACCCACTAAAATATGTTTCCTGCATTACAGGAAGCGCCACTTGATTCTGTATTCCTAACCTGAGGCTCCATCACAGACTCCATAGGCAACACGGTTGTAGAGAATCACGGAAGGGTTAAAGAGAAGCACTTCTGTTTCTATATATCTTGATTTCATATACCTTCTGCCCCCTCCAGCCTCGGGGGATGAGAGAGGAGAACGAGGCTGGCTCTTGTAGCGATTGCTTTCCGCCCCGGAGGCTCCAGGCTAGCCAAAGTCATCATTTCTGTGTCCTCAATTTTGTCTGAAAGATTAAAAGAAAATACACGATGTCACTGTTCGGCCCGTGGAGTCTTGCTCTTTTTTTGCAGAATAGAAGCAGGTAGTGAACACTCCGTATTTGCTCCCGAAGGTAGGATCGGCAGGCGGTCAGACACGATTGTGTTTTCTGTTGGGTAACGTATCTGACCCAAACTTCACCCACAAGGAAACCTGGGAGATCGCTTTCAGGAATTCAGGAGCAAAAAGAAAGCGTAATTTCTGTCAGTAATTTCTATGACAGTCCCAGTTGTCTCTCTGTCCCTAAAACACAGGGACAGAGACACAGGAGCAAGCCATCGCTCCTAACAAACACCCTCTTCCTCCCCTTGGCTCTAGAAATGGCTCTAGGTTGGGCTCTAGGGAAAGCACATGACTTACCCTGGTCATTCCCCCAACTCCTCCTACGCGTTCGTTATCAGCAGAGACGCCTGGGCTCGGCGTAGTGGGCCGTAGCTCGGTGTTTGCCGGAGCCTGGGGAGCTCAGGCCCAGGAGGGCAGGAGGGCAGGAGGGCAGGAGATGGTCTCAGTGGGGCCAATCAAACCAACAAAACTGGCAGCAACATGAATTTGATGTTCACGCTCTTTGGATCTGGAAAACATCTGGTAGGAGTCAATAAAAGCCTAAAATATTTTTTTAATCACCCAGAGATGTCTGTGAGTCCCTCGGCAAACGTGGCCTTCAGAACAGCAGCCGGGAAGCCACGGATGGGAACCGCCTGGCGCTACGTTCTCACTACAGACACGCCAAGAGGGACAGGTGTACCGGAATCCGCTGCGTCTCTACAGTCAAGTGCAATCTTTGTTGTTTTGTATTTATTTGTATGTTCAGATCCAAAGGATCCGTTGTAAAATATATATAAATATATACCCAGTGCAATTAGCCTTCATTTCCTTTTCCTTGAAAGCATATGAATATATAGAAAGCAAGAAAAAGTACAGTACTTTGTGGGGAAATCCCAGCTGACGTCATGAAGAGAACAAGGTCTGCTCCGAACCTTTTACCGTCACCTGTCACCACCCCGTCTGAATGTCGCCGTTTATACGCGGATATTTGCTTCCCTTACGCTTGTTCTTCATTTATTTTTTATTTCTAACGAAAATAAATAAAAGCATTTATGAGGACAATAAATAAAGCTTTCTGTACTTCAGAAGGACACAAACTATTAGTGGGAAATGAATAAATAAGTCACAGAGGATGTAAATTTTGTACAGTATTAGAATGTGTAAATGAAGCTTGCTTGGAAGGGGGAAACTTGAAATAAAAACTTTATGTACTAATTCAATTGTCTCCATCTTCCTACTTATAAAGCCTGTGTATAAATCTCTACATTGAATTGTTTAAATGTTTGTAACATATAAATGCGTGTTTTTATTCTGCAGTATACTTTACAAGTTGATTTAGCCTCCTGGCAGTATATAAATGTATACAGTACGGACAATGCTAAAAAATCTGGAATGTGTCAGGAAAATGTTGAGTTAAAAATAATGAGTTGGACCAGATTTTTCCACTGTTAGAGTGTTATAAGGAGGCATAACTTATCCAAGATCTAATAACTAAACATTTATAGAAAGTAGTAGAAGCACCATATGTATTAAACAGTACTTGTACACTTTCTAAAAAAAAAAGTGGACCACATATTCAATTAGATACATTCTCTAAATATATAGTATTTCATTTTTTTAAAAAATAAGTTGTACAGAGCAAGGAAAGAGGCTGTGGCAGACCATAGGGGAAACTGAGGCATGTAGCTGAGGTTGCAGGTGGGCAACCTTCCAGGTAAAGAGTTATGAAGGGTCGGAAGCTACTTCCTGAAGCTTGCAAGCTAGAAAGGACTTACTGCCATGCTTCCCAGCCAAGTCTACCATTCTTGGGTTCAAACTCACATTTAAAGGGTATTTGATCCTCCTGGTATCCCATGAAAGCAAGCCTGGTGCGTTCTGTGTTCTTGCCCTGGCCCTGCCCCTCTGCACACTGGCGTACCATTCCCGAAAGAGGCCTCTCTCTACGGTGGCCTCCGTTACCATCTGCCTTAAACCCAATGGCTCCTTTTGGCAGGGCTTCTTCCAAATGCCCTGAATTCCCCAAAGCTCTAGTGCTGGCCAGATATCAGGAGCAATGAAGTAAATATAATTGTCATAATTGTCTTTGTCCTAATCCCAAGCAAACACCTACCTTGAGTCCATAACTAGACACCCTAAACCTGGGAGAGGGTTTAGGCAGTCCCTGAGCACAGGGACCCGGGTTTTTTATTAATTAACTAGAGGCCCGATGCATGAAATTTGTGAAAGGGGCTTGGCCCTCGCAGCCCCAGCTTTGTCCGGAAGATCATCCAGAAGGTCATTTGGCTGTCTGGTCTAATTAGCATATTATGCTTTTATTATTATAGACTAGGGGCCCAGTGCATGAATTCATGCACCTTGAAAGGAACCGTGGGCCGTGAGGCTGCAGTCGGCACAGGGGCAGGTCTCTGCCCATCCTCCATTCCCCACCCAGTCCCTCCTGCTGTGGCCCCCAGTCTCCTGTCTGCCAGCAGCCCCACTCCGGCCACCGCCACTCCCACGCACTAATGGTGCCAGCCACAGTCACACCTGCTGACAGCGCAGAGCGATTGAGGCAAGCGCCATCAGCATGTGCGAGTGTGGCTGGCACCATCAGTTGGTGCAAGTGGTGGCTGCTGCCCCGATCACCCCTCAGGAGCAGGGGGAGGTGGAGAAGCCCTCAGGGGCGATCAGGGCCGGCAGCTGCTGCTCACACCTGCTGATGGCACCAAGTGATTGGGACTGGTGCCAGGCACCGGCAGTGGGTGCAAGCAATGGCTCTGGCGCTGGCTGCAGGTGCAAGCGGGGCCAACACTGGCAGCAGGTGCGAGCGTGGGGTAGGACCGTGGCATGTGGGAAAAAAGAATTTTCAGTAACTACCAGAGGCTCGCCCTGATGACAACAACTGGCGCCCCGCCTTGGTCTGGCACCCTTGCTTGCCTGCTCCACCATCCTGCCATGGCCAACTCCCACCATGTTCCGCATACATCCCTTAGTAGTCAGCACACATCATAATGACCGGTTGTTTGGTTATTTAGTTGTTCTGGTTGTTCTGCTGTTCAGTCTATTTGCATATTAGGCTTTTGTTGTATAGGATTGTGTCTATAGACTTAAAGTTATCACCTGCATTTGTTCTCTCCTCTTAGAGCCAAATTTACATTTTCCCAGCTGCTTGGCACATCACTTAAATTGTCATAATTATCAACATTGTAAGTATCAAGTATCCTATATAATAAAGAGGTAATATGCAAATTGACCCTCATGCCATAACACAGTCATAAGATGGTGGCGTGCACAGCGGGAATGGGGCAGCGGGGGCGGGGCCAGCGGGGTCCCATGTCTCACGCGATTTTGTGTGACGGGTCACTAGTTTATTAAACATATCCCAAAAGGCAGCCAGCCCATAAATGCCAGATTTCCCATTAAACCAGGTTGTCTAGGTCAAAATATTTTTAAAAGAAATGAGAAAATGGACCAAAATAGGATTGAGTTCCTGCAGATAGGGGATCAGGAAGAGCGCAACTAATCAAGTCTGGCTTCTCAGCAGCACCTGACCTAGAGGACAGTGAACTGATAGAAAATAAAATGGCTGTGAGCAACAAAAAGGCCCCCCAAGAACATATCCCAATAGGATGTTTGCTTTGTGTAGCTTGGGTTGGTAGGGGTGCTCTGGATAGTGCAATAAGTATGGTCCAAGTACTGGATGGGGCTTTAGCATCTGTTAAGTCTACAGGCTTGATGCAGTAATAAAAGGTTCAGTTCTAGAGACCCATATAAAAACTGTGCTTCAAGAATACAACGTGGGCTTAGGAATAAGAAAAAAATCTACAAATTGAAGCTTGTGTGGCTTATTCTATTCTATTTTGTTCTATCCTAGACTATTGCCTAGCACATATTAAGAACTCGGCAAATCTCAATTCTTCATGTTAGCAGGAGTAGTAGTACCTTAGTGTTTTTAACTCACTAATGTTGCTAAAAACAACACTAGGAACTAAAAACACTAAGGTAGTGAGTCGACCTGTAGGACTGCGCACTGCTCGGGCTCTGAAGAATCAGGTCACTTCAGTAAAGTGATCCTTCATTCTAATCCCCTCTCGTTGTTTATATCTTAAGTCGACCCTTCCTCTGTGACCTTCTAAATCCTCTCTTTACAACAAAATGGCATTTTGAGGTGAGCAGGGTGGCAGGCAAATATTTGGCTGCAGGACAAGGTCATCCTACACTGCTCAAATCTGGGACATTTGGGAACCAATTGAACTAAATTAGGCAAAAGGAATAAAAAGAACAGCATTTAGTTACTAATTCAAAGCTATTATATCAACAATCCTATATAATAAAAGCCTAATATGCTAAGAGTCCAGTTGTCCATTCAACCAATCAAAGCATAATATGCTAATGATATGCTAAGGCCACTCAACCATTTGCTGTGACATGCACTGACCACCAGGGAGCAGACGTTCTGACTGGTAGGTCAGCTTGCTGCTGGGGTCTGGCCGATCAGGACTGAGCAAGATGGGCCAGACATGCCCTGGAGCCCTCCCGTGGTCCCTCCCAAGTGGGACAACCTCCCACGTCCTTCCCCGGCCCCAATCGTACACTGGTGGGGTACCTTGCCCTGGCCTGTGCCCTCTTGCAATCCAGGACCCCTTAGGGGATGTTGGAGAGCCGGTTTCAGCCCACCCTGCAGGCCAGGCCAAGGGACCCCCTGGTGTACGAATTCATGCATCGGGCCTCTAAGTTTTATATAACACTTCTACTCACGGAATGTTTACTGAGTCAGGCCCTATGCTGGGCATTTTATTCATGTTTTCTGTTTACTCTGAATGGCTCTTCAAGGTAAATATTATTCATATTAAAGGTAAGGACACATGCTCAGAACAGATGAGCTGTTTAGTAAAGTGTAACAGCTGGGAAGTAGCAGATTCACACCAAGGTGTTAACCTAAGGTCCTCTTCCAATCACCATACTCTCTCCTGCCCACAAAGAAATGTCTTAAACCAACCACTTGAAGTCATGTAGGAACTCCTAGTAGATTGGCTGCTTTTCCCACATAGGAATAGAACGTGCTGGAGGGAAAAGTGAACGCGCAATGCTGATGTGTTCTGCTCAATGCTATGTTGCTGGTGAGGATGAGTACTGGAAAGCACAGGCGTGGGAGAACCAGCAGGAGCCTGCTCTGTGACCCTGAGAGGTCATCTAGTTTCTCCGACTTGAGTTTTGTATCTGTGTTTGGAGTGCTGATCTCCTCTTCAAATAACTGCTGTGAAAATCATGTGTGAAAACACTGTACCTCATAAACTTCTGAAGTAAATTACACATCCGCTGTTAGGTTGTGATGACCAAGTTCAAGTGTTAGTCTGGCGTGCGAGACACCTTCAAGTCTGGCCTCAGCCTCACTTTTTTTGTTCATTGTTTTATTGCTTAAAGTATTACAAAGAGTATTACATATGTCTCCTTTTTTTCCCTCCCTTGACAATCCCCTGGCCTCCCCTACCCCCCAGTGTCCCATGTCTATTGGTTATGCTTATATGCATGCATACAAGTCTTTCGGTTGATGTCTTACCCTCCCCTCCTGCCCCCCAACCCTCCCCGGCCTTCCCGCTGTAGTTTGACAGTCAGTCGAGGCTGCTCTGCCTCTGTATCTATTTTTGTTCATAAGTTTATAATGGTCTTTATTATCCATAAATGAGTGAGATCATGTGGTATTTTTCCTTCATTGACTGGCTTATTTCACTTAGCATAATGCTCTCCAGTTCCATCCATGCTGTTGCAAATGGTAAGAATTCCCTCTTTTTTACAGCAGCATAGTATTCCATCGTGTAGATGTACCAGTTTTCTAATCCATTCATCTACAGATGGGCACTTAGGCTGTTTCCAGATTTTAGCTATGGTGAATTGTGCTGCTATGAACATAGGGGTTCAGCCTCACTTTTAGGTCACATTTTTCTTTACTAATCTGTTCATTGAGCAACGTGCATCCCTGCCTTTCCACACGCACAGCTATGCTTTTCCATTGTGCACTTTTGCTGGAGCATGTTCTCCATTGGGAATGCCATTCCAGGCTCAACACTACCTATTAAAACCCTGTCCTGCAAGGTCCCCATTCAGACTCCACTGCCTTCATTAAGGCTTCATGATGGCAAGTCTTCTGTGATATTTTTCATCTGACTTCCTACGGTTCTCTTATCCATTCAATGCTATTCATCAGATTTTGTGTCTTA